AACTCAGTGGCATCCCTCATTCTCTCTTCTGTGGCCCCAGTACCGGGTAATAGTGTGACCCTTCTATTTGACAATACTAACTCTTCTATTTGTGCCCTGGATTGTGTGCTGGTCATATTCCATACATCAGGCTGACCTAACTAGTATCCCTTCACGCTCTCCCTAATTTTCTATTTCCCCCTCATCCAATGGCTTCTTCCTTGCTATCTACATACCTAAATCTTGCCCATTCTTAGGCAAGTAGGTGGGTGGTGCAGTGAATAGAGTGTTGGGCCTGGAGTTAGGAAGAAATGAGTTCAAATTTGAACTCAGATACATACTAGCTATTTGATCCTGAGCATTTCACTTAACCTCTGTCTCAATTGATCTGTAAAATGGAGATAATAAAAGCACTTACTTCCCAGGGTCGTTGTGAGGATCTAATGAGATCATACTTGCAAAGCATTCTGCAAACCTTAAAGTGTCATATAAACAACTAACTTTTAAAAAAAAACAAAACACCACTTTCATTAAACCCTATAACATCAAGCTATTGTCCTTTACTTCTCTCTTCCAAAAGCAAGCTCCTAGGAGAAAATTATTACCACCCATTCACTTCTGAACCCCTTGCCAAATGGCTTCTAACCTTCACTTAACAGAAACTCCTCTTTCCAAAGTCACCAATAATCTACCGCTAAATCCACTGGTATTTTATTAGTCCCCATATTTACTGACCTCTCTATGGCACCTCACACTACCGAGCACCCCTTTCTTCAGTATACTCTCTCCTCCCTGAATTTTCATCTCACTACTCAAATCTTGGGTCTCTTCTCATCATTCTTATAGCATTATCATGCACATTCTGTCCTCTATGAATGTATATATCCAGGGTTCAATTTTAGGCTTTTTCCCTCTACACTATCTTATCAGCTCCCATTGACACAGTTATCTCTATGTAGATGATAATAAATCTACCTATCAGGCCTTCATTTTTCTTCAGAACTCCAGTTCAGCATTTGCAAGTTCCTCCTGGACATCTCCATTTGGATGGCCTGTAATTATCTTAAACTCAATGTGTACATAAGAGAATTCACTATCTCCTCTGAAATTCACCTCTCATCCTACTGTAACTCACCCATTTCTATTGAAGACACCACCATTCTTTCAATCAGCCAGGTTTACAACCTAAGATTCGTTCTTAGTTCTCCACTATCTAAATGCCAAATCTTGTCTGTTCTACCTCCTCAATGTCTCTCACACCTGTAACCTTCTCTCCACTGACACCAGATCAAATCAAAGATTATACATTTAGAACTAGAAGGTATTAAACCTCCTCATTTTATAGATGAGAAAACTGAACCATCAAAAGGTTAACTGACTTACCCAGGGTTATACTACTACTAGTAAATGTGTGAAGCAGGTCATATTCCATACATCAGACCCCCTCTTAGTGCAAGCCCTCATTATCTCTCTCCAACCTACTACAACAAGGTCCTGCCTATCAGTCAGTCAACAAGCATTTATTAGTTTCCCTATATCTAATCTCTTCTTCTCCAACCCAATCTCTATACAGTTGCTAATATGCCTACAGCACAGATCTAATCATATCACTACCCTGCTCAAGATGCTTTACTGGCTTCCCACTACCTCTAGGTTAAAATACAAACTCCTTTGTTCAACATTTAAAGATCCAGCAATCTGGATCCAGTCGATTTTTCTAAGTTTGATTACATATAATTTCCCCCTCACAACTTCTACAATCTAATCAAACTGGTTTGATTTTCAAGATACTATCTCCCGCCTCTGCTTTTGCATAGGCTGTTCACCATGCCTAGAAAAACCTTAAATTGCTGAAAACCTTAATTCCCTTTGAGACTCAGTCCAAGTGTGACCTCAATTCAAGATGCCCTTCTTAATTCCTCTAGTTGTTAGTGCCCTCCTATATCCTTGCCTAGAAATTACTTTACATTTATTTTGTATACTTTTTTAATACATACCTATCTATGAAAACATTGTTTTCCCCCAGTAGAAAGTAAGCTCCATCAGGACAGGTTATTAGAAGTCACTTTTGTTTTCATATGTGCTGCAGTAGGCACATGGTAGGAATTTAATAAAATCTTTTTGACTGATTTGGCACATTCTTGTTCCTAAACTAGTGTCAAAGGTAAGATTTAAATCCAAGGTCTCTCAGATTCCTAATCTTTGTATCTCTCTTTCAATTAGACCACACTACCATAATCAATTCACAGTTGGTAGAGACAGCATGGTATAATTGAAAGAATCATTAACTGGAAGTTAAGGGAACTAGCTCTAGTCAGGTCTTCAATTAAATCATTTTGGGATCATGGTCCACTAATTTAACTCTCTTAGTTGTCAATTTACTCACCTATAAAAGTCTACTTAAAGTCTATCTAAATGTCTGTCTAAAGTTCTAAACTTGGCCTGGGGTTATGGACCCCTAAGGAGGATGTGGAGAGATTTCAGGGGATCTATCTATGTGGATGACAAAAAAAAAATTACATCTTTATTTTCACTAACCTCTTAACTGAAATTTAGTATGTCCCTCAATTATGAACTACAGCAGGATTATTAGTATCTATGAATTTTTCACCAATAGAAATTATAAATATTTTCATAACACATTACAGTTGTTGCAGATATTCCAAAATATTGCTTATACTCCTCATTACTTAGAAACTACTGGTACAGGGCAGCTAGGTGGTCCCATGGATAGAGCACTGGTCCTGGAGTCAGGTGGACCTGAGTTCAAGTCCAGACTCAGACACTTACTAGCTGTATGACTCTGGACAAGTTACTTAACCCTGACTGCCTCCAAAAAATTACTGTTGTTACTAGCCCTGCCACTAGCTCTTCTCTTCTTAGTCCAGTCATCACTGTCTTGCTAGTTTTCTGTCTACAGGCAGTATTTCAATATAATTGGTCTCCCTGATAATCCTATGTATTTTATTTTATGCATTTAAAAACATGATTCTGAGGAGTTCACAGGCTTCACCCATGGCACCAAAAAGGTGAAGATCTTCTGGTCTTGATGATCTCAAGGGAAATTTCAATTCTTAAAATTCAATGATTCTAGAATTGAAAATTCAGGCTGGCAGTGGGACATTCAATTGTCCCTAAAGCTAATACCATTCCTTCACACATTTTGTCACAGAAGAGATATAGAAACCCACCACTCCTACACAGTAATGAAGTCTCTCACACCTTCCTTCAGCAATAAGGTAAAAGAGCTTTCCCTGACCTCAAGAATCCTACTTGACTGAAAACACTGCCTTAGAATTCAGGCTTGTTATCTTCCTATCTTCCCCACAACACATAACAAAAGTGCTTTATAAGGTGCTAAATAAACACTTGTCAAATTGAACTAAACAGTGTCTCTATAGTTCACTCTTCTCCTTATTTTCAATTATCAATCTCTTCTCCTGAGTCTTTTATTATGCTATTCAGATGAGCATAAATCTCACAGATCTTTAAGGCAAAGATCTTTGTATAAAAGATAAAACTCCTGACTTTGAGTAAAGAACGTAAATGTCCAAAACAGTAGGTTATTGGATGGGGTTCTAACAGAACAGAATGCCTATACCTGATGCAACTTCATTAGGGAACAATGCTCATATAGAAGCCATTTACCACTGCTATCAAACTATTTCTTCCACTTTCCTTTCAATTTATCCTAAACAAACCACCATTAAAATTATTATCATTATCATTTACCATTCTCCACAAAATATGCTAATGACTCTTCATACAAATACCTGATAATAGGCTTGAGACCCTTCTATTCCTTCATGTCCATTCTTTTCCAGTATAACTCACTGCTTCACCTACTCTGTTGTAGTTAGGATGCTCCTTGACAGTCTAAGTACAGAACTATCCCATTCTCTCAACTCTGAGGCACGTCCTTATGTGGGGCCACCTTTCTCTTCTTATAGCACAGCACATCTGTTCGTTCTGTCTCTGTTTTCGCACATCTCTTCCCGAAAAGCATTTCTGAGAAAAATATACCTTTCACTCTCATCATACCTTACTACTTATCAAATACAAATATAGCAATAAAGAAATTATAAATCATATATTTTTAGGAAGATATTGGCAGGAATGTTAAAGTCAGAAATGCCAAAGTCTGTGAAATGGTTGTTACTCTACTTTGAAATAAATAACACAGCAATCACTCTATATTGTACTGAGGAAGTGTCAAATAATAAAAATGAAAGGTCTTCCAAAGCAACTAGATGCACAATAATTAATAGTTTCTAAATGATTTTCTTAAACTTCAGACCCTCAAAAAATGGCTGAATCACTTCAGTTTCGTAAGTGCACAGAACTCACAGGATCTATTTTTAAGAAAACTAACCTGTCTTTCAATTATAGAAGAGCACTTCCAGTATAAAACAGGGTAGAAATTAATTATATTGACCAGACTGCTGGAGCCATAAAGTTCCAAAGTCATTCTCACAAGAAAACTGCAAGGCAGGTAAATAAAAATCAATGCTTTTTTTTAAAATGCTATTGAAACTTCTTTTGATAGCATATACATTTAAAGGTAGCTTAGAACTTTTGCTAGGCATTTACTCCCAATTATAGAGACTATAACCCCAATAAACATAATAAAAGATTAAAATACAAGCTGCAAATCTACCAAATTTATACGCAAACCAAATAAGGAGATATTCTTTTGACAGAAGTTGGAAAGTAAAAATATCTTCACTTCAGAGCTGATTCTAGTGTTTACTATGATAGCTCAATTTTGATAAATCCCAAAAAGCTTACTCCAAATTTTTGTATCTTTTTTTCAAATTATCACATAGAAGATAATTATATCTATTTTAAAAAGAAAAAAAGCAATCTAACTTTTAGTTTGCTTTCCTATAAAGGTCTTATACTCCAATTCATGCACCTAAGTTAAAAATTAATAAAATAAAAACATATTATCTTTTTCAGGTCTTTTAGTAATAACAGTTTATACTTGGAAAAAATAACATAAGTAAAAAGTTCGGTCTCACTTGGGAAATGTGGTTGATAGAAGATTCCATCCGGCGTAGCTGGGATGCCTGGATATCCAACATTTGGAGGACATTGTTGGCCAAAGTGTTTATCAGATAGGCTACACTTGCTAAGGACTGTGTTGTATAGGCTTTGGTTTCTTCTAAGGCTCGCTGTTTATCTGCTGACTAAAAGAGAAAAACACTGTTAAAAACAATTCATAATGTGGATTTTCAACTGAAAAATAATCATTAGTAATTGGGGTTTTGGAATATAAAAATAGGAAGAGATTCTGTGAGATTAAACAACTTAAAACAATGAGCACTCATCATTGAGGGGTGCTGAATAAACTATGGTATATAAATTTAATAGAATACTACCACGCCATTGCAAATAATGAATATGAAGAATTAAAAGAAATTTGGCAAGACTTAAATGAATTAAGGCAAAGCAAAATGAGTAGAATCAAGAGAATAATTTGCATGATGCCCACAATAACGTAAAGGAAAACATCTGGCAGGAGATTCAAATAAGCTAAGAACAAGAACACCATGAAACTTGGAGGGTAAATAAATATAGTGATCTATTTTCAACAGTGATGATAACGGATCTATACATTTGGATACTAGCTCCTTAATACCCAATGTTACTATATTTAAGTAAGTGGCAAAAGCATTTACACCAGGAAGAGCGATGGTTGGAACTGAATAAAAACATTGACAAAAATTCCTTAATGTAGGTGATATATTATTAAAAGCACTTGACACTAAAATTTTAAAACATCTCAAAGAAAAAGAGGACTTTCCCTTTGGAATTCCATTCCAAAAGAATGGGAAAAATTTTAATTATATAAATGTATAGATACAGATATAAAATTAGACACACACACATATGTAATCTTATCACTAAAAAATTTGTATGAAAATGGTCTACACACACACAAGAAGGGGAAAAGAGGGTTATTTTCCCCTTTGACCAAAAAAGAGATTGCTGAGATATACTCAGCAACAAAGAAAACAATCAGTCCAGAATGAAACATGTCCATGGCATATGTGTTCAGTATTTCATTTGTGTCAGAGTCTTCATGACACCATGGACAGTGAGGTTTTCTTGGCAAAAGTACTGGAATGGTTTGCCATTTCCTCACACAGAGGTTAAATGACTTGCCCAGGATCACACAGCTAGTAAGTGTCTGAGGCCAGATTTAACTCAGGTCTTCCTGACTCTAGGCCCAGCACTCCATTCACTGAAGCATCTAGCTGGCCATGGCACATAAATAAGTGAACTGATTTCAGGCAGGGAAACTTTACATTAAAAGATGTAATGTCTTCTATCATAGAAAACTCAGTGGTAAGTGTCCTGTATCAGATGTTAGGGACAATTATTCTAGATGAGGTGGGAGAGTTGGTACAGTCCTAGATAGAATGACATCTCTAAAGGACTTAGCCCAGTGCAACCAGGAGTCTGGAATTCCTTATCTACTCTCCAATGACCTCAAGGATCAGCACAGTCAGGCTGTTTAGATGTCTGCCTCATCTTTAACCTCTTACACTTCAGCCTCTACATTTACCTCTTTTTCCATCGGATTTCCATTCCACCAAAGAACCAACAAGATGGTACTAGGTCCAAAAAGGAAGACTTTCAAAGACAATTTTCTAGATGAGAAAAATCACATCCTTACAGTCCTATATCAGATTAAAAGGTGTAGAAGATCATAGCATCCTACTGTATTTACTATTTACTGTCAAAGATAAAGTGTTAGAGCAAAACGCAGTCTTTAAAATATCTACCACATATGGTAAGATTCCATATGATTGCACGATTGATATAGCCACAAAGATGACAGACACCACTTGAAACAAATTACTTAATTTCTCTGAGTCTCAGTTCTTCATCTGTAAAATAAGAAGGCTGGATTAGATGACCTCTAAGATCAATCAATCAATAAGCATTTATTTATTAAACATCTACTATGTGCTAGGCCCTCACTAAGTACTGGGGATACAAAGACAAATGTAAAATAGTCCTTGCACACATCCTTCAGGGTGAATGGACATATGTACATATGTTTTGGTACTTATGGAAGGGGGTGCATTAGCAGCTAAGGGGACTAGTATAGGCCTCATGAAGAATGCAGTACTTGCATTAGTCTTCAAGGAAATCAGGGATTCTAAGAAATAAAGGTGAGGAGAGAGTATATGTCAGTCATGGGAACAGAGCCAATACAAAGGCATGGAGGGAGAAAAAAGAGTGTTATATGTGTAACAGCAAGCAGACCAATACGGTTGGATCACAGAGTATAAGAAGAGTAGTGTAGGAAGACTGGAAAAGCAGGAAAAGGCCAGTTGTGAAGACATTTAAATGTCAAACAAGAATTTATATTTAATCTTGAACACAAAAGAAAGCCAGTCATTGAGGGGAGGAAGGAGGGCTTGGGGAGGGAAGGCAGAGGTTTCAGGGGGAGCCTGACATGTAGAAAAATCACTTTGCCAGCTGTTTAAACCATGAATTGCAGTGAGGAGGACCTGTGGCAGAAAGACCCAATGGAAGGCTATTGCATTTCCCTTTTTTGGGGGGGAGGGGGATGGATGCTAGGCAATGGGGTTAAGTGCCTTGCCCAGTGTCACACAGCTAGTAAGGGTTATGTGTCTGAGGCAGGATTTGAACTCAGGTCCTCCTGCATCCAGGGCCAGTGCTCTATCCACTGCACCACCTGGTGCCCCTGAGAGGCTATTGCAATAGTCCAGGTGAGAGGTGAAGAGAATCTGAACTAAAGTGGTGGCTATATGAGTAGAGAGGAGAGGTATGAAAGAGAAGATATGGAAATAGAAGTAACAACATTTGACAGCTATATGATTATGTGAGATGAATCAGAACTTGAAATACAGAGTGAAACCAAAGCTGTAAGCCTGGGTGACTGGAAGAGCAGTGGTACCCTAGACAGTAATAGAGAAATCTGAAAGCAAGGCAGGTGGGGAAAGGGGAGGACAGACAAGACAATGAGTTCTGTTTTGGGCACGGTGAGTTTGAGATACCTACTATCAAATATCTTTTTGGAAATGTCCAACAAGCAGTTTACAACTCAATCCTTTCCAACTCTAAATCTATGACCCTATGAAATTGGTCTAAAGGGAAAACAAGGAAAGCTTGAAAGAGAAGAGTAATTCTGTTTCTATCAAGCTAATTGAGACCACATATGTGTAACTAATTTATTTAGTATATACAGATTAAACACAGAGATCTCCTCAGAGATTACTCAAAAAAGGCATCTTAAATATGTTCTACTATAATAAAAACTGTGGGGACAGGATAACTTGTGAGGTTAAAGGGAAAAGGCTGTGAATCTCAAGAGCAAGGTTTTTAAAGAAATAATTCCCTTGCTCATAAGGGGTACTACTAGAAACAGAACCTTTACCTAAAAAAGAAAAAAAAGCAATAGAAGTAAAAGAAAATTAGTTAGGGGCTTCCCTGGAGATATGTTTAATCCCAAAGTGTATTTCATTAATAAGGAATGGTCTCGTTTTTGCAATGGCAAATGATGACAAGACACTAAGAAATGCTAGACTTCCATTACATTTTGGGGATTCAAATCTTTGGGTTTAGATCTTTCTATTGCTTTTCTTGTTCTACTCACTATCAAAGAAAACTAAAATGTCCAAGCTATATGGCAAGTATTGACTGCAATTAGGAAGTTTTTCTGTGAACCTTGTCATTTTTCTCATTTCCCAAGTCTCTAATACACCAATCTCTATATTTTCTCCATTTCCTTTTAGCTCAATATCACTACAGCTAATTTTCTAATACATACCATGGCATTAATGTCAAACTTCATTTATAGGCTTTTGGATTACCTAAAACATTATAAAGCCCTCCTAAAATACACAGTACTTCATAAATACATGCAATTTAAATTTTAATCATAATCTTTTGAATGTAAAGAAATAAATTCCATTATCTGTCCTGGATGACACACTGCCAGATGATAGCAAGTAAACAGGTCATTGGTTGTTTCTTTCCTTGACCTCTTTATATTTGTTACTGGCAAGCAGATTCTCTGCAGATCTTTCAAGATTTATTCATTATGAGGGGGCAGCTAGGTGGCACAGTGGATAGAGTACCGGCCCTAGAGTCAGAAAGACCTGAGTTCAAATCCAACCTGACACATAACACTTACTAGCTGTGCAACTCTGGGCAAGTCACTTAACCCCAACTGCCTCACCAAAAAAAAAAAAAAGATTCATTAATTATACATACAAACTTCTCTCACATTAAAAATAAAATGAGAAAAAATGCAGTTTGTATTTTGAATATATGTTAGTAATATTTGGAAATATACTCAGAATAGTATATTTAATTCATAATAGCACTTTAATTAACATTTGCAATCTAACATTCCTATTTATTCCCTAACTTTATGTATAATTACTTCAGTATGTAAGGTACTTAACCACCTCTCTCTCCCAGACAAGAAGTTCAAGATCTAATCACAGAAATTAAGGAACCCACGATTAGGGACCCCTTACTATAACTAACTATGAAATATCAACTAAAACAAAAAAGTTGGGTGATCTCTTTATGAAGTGTGAACATGTTCCTTGACTGAAACAGAAAAGATGCCCAACCCCTGGCTTACTGACTACAACATTCTCCTTCCTCCTTGCCTCTCTCTACAAGACTGTGTGAGGCAGTTTGATAGTTTGAATCAGTTCAGGCAAATCCAATGTGCCAAGGACTATGCTAGATAAGAGAAGAAAAGGGGAATACAAAAACAGTCCTTGCCCTCAAGGAGATTACATTCTATCAGTGATGATATTGGAGAAGAGAGGGAGGGGGAAAGAGAGAGAGAGAGAAATAGGACCTGAATCTATGATTTGATTGGCACAGGAAGCTGCCAGTGAAGAATCTCTACCAGTCTGTGTCAGCACTTTCTTGGCACCTCAAATCCTCTATACTTCTAAAGCAAGGGTCTACAGACCCCAAGTCTGTAGATGTGAACCAGATGTGAAAAAAAAATTACAGAAATTATATGTAGCTGTGTCACCAAAAAAATCACAAATATTATCATATTACATTACAGGTGTTGCAGGTATTTCAGAACACTGCTTATATTTATTACCACTTCAAAACTATGGTAGTTATAAAACCTGCCTCTGGATCATCAGTGATCAGTGTTCTAGTCTACACATGG